TCATCCAGTCTTTAACGGCTTCCAGTCCCCGGTTCATCACGTCCACCGCTTCATTGAGTTGGCACGGGGCGGACAGATAGAGAGAAGTTTTCTAAATAAAATAAACCTTTTACAGTTTTACTCCATGTCTGCTGAGGAAATATACTTCAAAGTATCAAGAAGCAGGAGGTCATTTGCCAATCTTCTTCAGATGTCCTTAACACAAAATGCATACTAAAGAAAGAAACCGTGACAGAAAGTTAAGAAAGAAAAACATATTGAATCACCTTTCACCAACTTGACAAGTTCACCAAACAACTATAATTTCCAAAAATTATAGGGTGATGGGTTGGGAAAGGCTAATATATTCTAAATTAAGAAGTATGTTGCAATTTTCATTTCTATGCTTGAGCTGGTGTCTTTTGCTTATACCGTTTTGCATATGAAGTTAATAAATCTTCATTGTGTTTCTTGTGTCAGTACTGTGAACCATTCAAGAGGCCATTTCTCAGATTTAACAAGAGCTGCTTGAGAAATGTGTGAATTGGAGCTAAGTCAAATTCCACTGCTAGCATGGAAATGTTTGAGAATATGTTCAAAGCTCTTAGTGTAGCAGCTGACTAATTCCAAACATTCCCATAATCAGAACAACTGGTGGAAAGGATCAAACAAGGAACATGCATTTCTATAAAAAAAAACATTTATTTCTTCAAACTTTATTTGAAGATAAAATGTTTTGCTCAGCAGTCTTATTTGTTCATTCTCCTATTTGCTTTCTTGATGTTGAATTATCTGATATATCAAAATTCAGTGAAAACCATAGTCATTGGCACAGTGATATGCAGTGATATGCTTTATAATGCCTTGGTAAGACCAGACTTGGAATGTTGCACCCAGTTTTGATTGTATAATTTTTATATTGTATAAAAATATGTTGTGGCTCTAGAAAGTGTGCAGAGAAGACCAACAAAGATTTGTAGGGGAATGGAGGCTAAAACATACAAAGAATAATTGCAGGAATTGAATATGTCTAGTTTAATGAAAAAAAGAAGTAGGGGTAACATGGTGGCAGTATTTGAATATCTGAGGGGCTGCTACAAGATATGGTTAACCTATTTTCCAAAGCTCCAGAAGGTAAAACAAGAAGCAATGGATGGAAATTAATCAAGAAGAGAAGCAATCTAGAAATAAGGAGAAATTTTCTGACCGGGAAAACAATTAATCAGTGGAACAACTTGCCTCCAGAAGTTGTTGGTGATCCAATACTGGAAGAAGGATTTGGGGTGACATGATAGCAGTGTTCCAATATCTAAGTAGCTGCCACAAAGAATAGGGAGGCAGCCTATTCTCCAAAGCACCTAAAAGCAGGACAAGATGGATGGATGGAAACTAATCAAGGAGAGAAGCAACTTAGAACTAAGGAGAAATTTCCTGACAGTTAGAACAATTAATCAGTAGAACAACTTGCCTCCAGAAGTTGTGAATGCTCCAATACTGGAAATTTTTAAGAAATTGGACAACAATTTGTCTGAAATGGTATATGGTTTCCATCCATCCNTGGCTGTTTCTGGATCCTACATTATAAGCATCCATTATAAGCATGTCCCTTATATTTGAATTTTATGGCAATTCTCAGTATTTTTTTTTCAGTTCCAATATTGAATTTGGAAATTGATCCTAAAGTATGACAATAATCTTAATGAAAGGTGCACCACACAGCTTCCACATGTAATTAACACTCCTTTGGTAATTGGTAATTATTGGTAGGGCTCAGAGTTATTATTTTTACATTGCAATTCTTCTCAAAGACATGCTATAAAGTCAAGAATGTAAAAATGATATAAAATTTTGTGTGTGTGTGTGTGTATGTATGTATGTATGAATGAATGAAAACAAGTAATTTGAAAGCTGTGTTTTCTGTTTCTGATCTCTCAAAGAAAACCGAAATTAGCATCTGTACTGAGGGAAATATACACTATAGATACTCAACGAAATATTTTATCTATTGGAAATCTAAACCTTTCTACACTCCCAGTTTACAGATCGGTGGCCCCCAGTTCAAATTATAATCTAGAAACAGCTCTTGCTACTAAAAAAAACCCAAAACTATCACACTCTTCACAGCCTTCTCACAACGGATTATAAGCAAACAAACATTCTTAGGGTATCCAAAACTGAATCAGCTAAAATTTTCTTTAGTTGAATCCCATCTTTTAAACAGGGCCTTATATTAATAAGCAATCATTACTAGCAGAAATAAAGAGATTCCGTTCGTAGACAAGAGGCACGTTCAGCGGCAAAGGAAGAAGCACTCTAGACATGCTTAGGGGGCATTCTGCTTTTCAGACTGCAAATTAGCCTTCTTCCTTCATCGCCGTCAATCCTGAGCAATCATGTAGCCACCATATAGAAAAAAGTGCAAGCTGTTTCGGGGGCCGGGGGGGGGCAATGGAGGGAATATAATGCGGGGAATGATTGAGCCCCAGGACCTTTCTAAGCCCCCAAATCAACCCTGAGATATCGCAGATCATGAATCTTCAACCTTGGAACTTGACCCAGCCTTCTCCCCAGGGCCCAGACCCAGTTAGCGACATTACCCCATTGCTCTCCATTGCCGCCGCCGCCGCCGCGGTCTCGGGCGGGAAAACCGAGCTCCGCTTCCTTCTCTCCCTGGCAACAACCTTAGGAGGGCCGCCGGGAATCGTCCGAGCATGCTCGGCTCAAAATCCGGGCATGCTCAGGAGGGGTGATTGACGCCCTGCCTTGCCCTTACTTGGGCGCTCTCTTAGCAATGGGCTCTGCCTACCCCGTAAAGGTGTACCATTTTTCTTTCGTTAAAAAGTAGTAGTAGTAGTAGTAGCAGCAGCAGCAGCAGCAGCAGCAGCAGCAGCAGCAGCAGCAGC